CTCTTGGCTGCCGCTGCCGCCTTGTCTCCCAAGCTTGTCTCCCTTCACTCCCTTCATGATTTCGCTTTTGGCTGCCGCTGCCGCTTTGTCTATGAATCTTGTCTCCCTTCATGAGTTCGCTTTTGGCTGCCGCTGTCGCCTTGTCTCCCAAGCTTGTCTCCCTTCATGATTTCGCTTTGGGCTGCCGCCTTGTCTCTCAAGCTTGTCTCCCTTCATGGTTTCGCTTTTGGCTGCCGCTGCCGCCTTGTCTCCCAAGCTTGTCTTTCTTCATACTTTCGCTCTTGGCTGCTGCTGCCGGCTTGTCTCCCAAGCTTGTCTCCCTTCATGATTTCGCTTTTGGCTGCCGCTGCCGCCTTGTCTCCCAAGCTAGTCTCCCTTCCTGATTTCGCTCTTGGCTGCCGCTGCCGCCTTGTCTCGTTTGTTTTCCCTTCATGCTTTCGCTCTTGGCTGCCGCTGACGCCTTGTCTCCCAATCTTGTCTCCTTTCATGATTTCGCTTTGGCTGGGAGCCTTCTGCCTTGCACAAGCGATCTGTACTTTCGAACTGCGAACTACGCAGGGCTGGAACAGATTTGCTGAAAAGCGCTTTTGCCATGGTGTCTAAATTTTCTTGAAATGCTATCTGGGGTCTATGCCGGTATATTTAAAGAAACAAACACTCAGAAAGAACATGAAAAGAGAAAACACGAAAGAACAGCAGGAAAAAGAGACAGAACGCAAGGAAAAGAAAAACAGGAAAAGAAACGAAAGGAACAAACATGAAAAAAGGAACATGAAAAGCGAAAAAACGAAAGAACAAAAGAACGAACGAAACAAAAAAGGAAGAACGGAAGAAAGGAAGGAAGGAAAGGAACAAAGGAATAATTGACAAAAATAGAAAAAACGAACATGTGCATGTATAAAAATGTTCATGTACATGTCTGGATATGTACGGATGTCGAGATATGAGATGTAAAGATGTGCAAATGTAAAGATGTTCATGTTTGGATATGTATGGACGTGAAGATGGGACATGTAAAGATGTGCAGGTGCGAAGGTGTGCGGGTGTGGAGTATGCAACTCCGGATTTATGCGGATGTAAATTGTGATGATACTATTATGTATATAATGCACCTGCTCTTTTTAGAAGAGCACTTCGCTCAGGCGCCTTTGGGCTAAAAGAGACGGGCCTACTCACAATTCACAATTAACCACACAACTTTGACCAATTTTGGGCAGCTTGACTTTTGAGACTTTTGAGATAGTCGTTGTAGAGCTGTGGCATAGGGAAGGACTCTTATGGAAGGCATCGATTTCAGTTTTCTTCCATTCCAGATTTCTGAACCCTTGCTGTTTTGCAAGTTGTCGAGGTCCCAATGCCACCACCACCACAGCCAACGCCAGTGAAACCAAAAGCCGCTGCCCCTACTGCTGAGAAAAAGGTGGTCAAAGAGGACCCGATGAAGGCAGGCTTCAAAACGTGACGCAACTGGTGAGCTGTTTAATTGTATTCTGGCATGATTCATTGTATTTTGCAGTGGCCTCGCTCCAAAGGAGAGTCAACTTTTTGGAAATCGTCACAACAGTTCCCCGCCTTGAGCTAGGTGAAGTTTGCTTCACCAGTTCTTTTTTGGGATCAACCGCTCCAGTCTCAATTGCCCAGCGTTGAGTAACCTTGCACTTGGTGACAGGTTGTGGTTGGGTTTTGGTGGGTTGTAGTGAGTCTTGTATAGCTTTAGAAGAAAGGTATTCACGTCGCTTCGCGACGGTAACCGCCCGCACCGCATGGAAGGGGCCAATATTTCAGTGACTTCTAGGGCTATGTTAGGCAATATCTTTACTCTATTCCAGTCCCTTTTGAGCCTTCGTTGGGCCATGTTTACGACGTTCAAGTACCTATCTCGGCGAAGCATACTTGAGATAGTGACTTCTGGGGTTATGTTCGACCATATGGGAGATGTTAGGCAATATCTTCACTCTATTCCAGTCCCTTTTGAGCCTTTGTTGGGCCATGTTTACGACGTTCAAGTACCTATCTCGGGGAAGCATACTTGAGATCACGAAAGGTAGCCTGGTAAGGACTACCTTGAGTTTGCTTTGCGAAGCGAAGGGACTGGCTTGAGAGCTTGCTCGGGACTAAAGATTGATAGATCAATGTCTAACACCCCCGGGGGGTCTGTATTGAAAAATCAATTCCAAGGGGGCGGGGGGGACCCCCCCCCCTCCGTAAGAGGGAAGAGTATACCCTATGCGCCGCACAGTCTGCCTTGAGATAATTTAAGCTAACGTAATTAAATATATAGATTAATAATTATATACTATATCAAAAATGAAGTATTTAAATTGGGCCGTCGTCTGATATGTTCAGATTTCAACATTTAAATCGCAATCTTTTATATTTTTGAAATTTTTTACTTTTTCAGAGCCTCCGAAAATTTAAAAAATTTAAATCGTAGGACTGTTCTCAGAGATCACCAGATTTCCAGATGATTTTCAAAAATTTAAAAAATTTCTAAAATTTAAAAAATTTAAAAAATATAAATCGGAATCTTTTATATTTATATTTTAAAATTTTTTAAATTTTTCAAGGCTCCGAAAAATTTAAAAAATCTAAAAAATTTAAATCGCAATCTTTTAAATTTTTAAATTTTTTAAATTTTAAAATCATCTGGAAATCTGGTGATCTCTGAGAACAGTGCGATTTAAATTTTTTAAATCTTTTAAATTTTCGGAGGCTCCGAAAAATTTAAAAAATTTAAAATATAAATCGAAATCTTTTGCCCCGGACTTTTGACACGGGATTCCACATGTGTAAGGTGAGTGCCCCTTACAGGATCAGCAGCTCACAACAGCGTACTGGTTTGTATCTTTCCACGACAAGAGGGCATATGACGAGTGGTATGGTGTATTGATGAGTGGTGTATGATGAGCGGTGTATGATGAGTGGTGTATTGACCACGAGTTGAATGTCCTAAAATTGAAAAATTTTAAAAAATTAAATCGCAATCTTTTATATTTAAAAAATTCTTAAATTTTTCGGAGCCTCCGAAAATTTAAAAATTTAAAAAATTTAAATCGTAGGACTGTTTTCAGAGATCACCAGATTTCCAGATGATTTAAAAATTTGAAAAATTCCAAAAATTTCAAAAATATAAAAGATTGCGATTTAATTTTTTTAAATTTTAAAAATTTTTCGGAGCCTTGAAAAATTTGAAAAATTCAAAAATAAAAAAGATTCCGATTTATATTTTTTAAATTTCTTAAATTTTTGAGATTTTTAAATCATCTGGAATTCTGGTGATCTCTGAGAACAGTCCGATTTAGTTGTTTTTAATTTTTTAAATTTTCGGAGGCTCCGAAAAATTTAAAAATTTAAAAAATATAAATCGAAATCTTTTATATTTTTTAAATGTTTTAAATTTTTCAAGGCTCCGAAAAATTTAAAAAATCTAAAATTTAAATCGCAATCTTTTATATTTTTAAAATTTTTTTAATTTTTCGGAGCCTCCGAAAATTTAAAAAATTTAAATCGTAGGACTGTTCTCAGAGATCACCAGATTTCCAGATGATTTAAAAATTTGAAAATTTCAAAAATATAAAAGATTGCGATTTAATTTTTTTAAATTTTCTAAATTTTTCGGAGCCTTGAAAAATTTAAACAATATAAAAGATTTCGATTTATATTTTTTTATTTTTTAAATTTTTAAACACTCGTTGCTCACCAACTCTGTTCTCTGCCACTCATGTATTGTTATATTGCCGCTTTTTGATGTCCCCTGTCACAATATGCATATTTAAAATGCTTGTCTGCCACTTTCTCACTTATAACTCTTATATTTTCTTCATCCTTAATGTCCTGTATCTTTATCATTCCACCCTTCACTTCTAAAATCTTCCACCTGATATTCACATTAAACTTTCCTTCCTTTTCATGTCTGTAAAGTCTGCATATCAAAATCTCACCTGCTTCATATTTATCTTTCTTGCCTAGTCTCTTTCTGACTTCATGTGCCAGAGCCTGGCACCTGATGTTGGTATGAGCTATGTTGTTTTCACTCACCATAATATCAGTTGTAAACTTAAAATGCTTAGCTACCCAATCTGAAATCTTCATGTCTTTAATCCAAAGGTCATCATATATGTTCCTCTCACCTGCTTCAGTGTCTTTGCCCCCCTACTCTCTTACATGTCTTTAAAAAGATGTTATGTTTAAGTATTATGTCAATACAATTATCAACATAATCTTCAACATTCTGACAGTTAGTATAAGGCTCTATGCTTGGAAGTTGTTTGACATCACCTGCTCCAATGATAATTTTATTAGGATTCTTCAGGGTAAACTGCCTTGTCTTGTTCAATATGAAAGGTGAAGACATATAGATTTCATCAAAGACTATTGCATCAAACCCTGAATAATCATACTTTGGTAGGCTGTTTGTTTTATCAATGCCAATGCCAAAGAACACATTCAATGTCACCGCTTCACATTCAATATCCTGTGTTAACATATTCTGAGGAACTATAAATAGAGTTTTGTAGCCCATCTTCTCCAGATGTTTGCCTATATAACTCTTGCCACTTTCTGCATATTTGGCTCTAATCATCACCCTCTTCTTTCTGATTATGTGTTCACATATCTCTTATGTGTTCCATTCCTCCTCTACTTCAATACTTTCATTTTTGTACGCCGGCTTTTTTACCAACTCATTATGTTTCCATGCATACCAGCCAGAAGAATATTTTACCATCATCTTTTCAACTCTCCAGTTGCCAATCTCCCTTCCAAACTCTAGTATCTTCCTAGCCTTCTTTAAGTCTGTCTTGGCTATGTGTAGTGCATCAGTTTTTATAGCATATACGTTGATGCCCTTTTCTTTAAGCCTCTCCATTGCATCATACATACTGTAGTTATGATTTTGCAACAGCAGTTATTTAATATACCGAAACCCGTTCATTAACTGCTTCTGTCCTGAAATTAGTAATGTTTGGTTGTTCTGTTTCTTTCTTTGGGGTCACCCCGCCCATCCACCTCTTCATATTCAACATCATCTAAGGTATAGATTTTGCCCCCATACTTGTTAAGATAGTAGAGTGCCTCCTTAAGACAATCAAAAATCTTGCTCTTATTTAATTTGTTGTAGCCCTTTTCTAGTAGACCAAAGGTAATGTTTGCAATGGTCTTCTTAATCATATTGTTTGAATTTTAATCTTCACTGATTTTTGCATTATATAATTATTCAATGGCTTTCTTATACTTCACCTTGTGTACATGAGAAGGCGTCTTATAGTATAATATTGTCATAACTACTCCTCTCTTGGCTAACTTCTTCAGATGCAAACCATAAACCAAGTTAAACTTTTTGTTAAAGAATATGTTTCCATGACATGCCTGAACTAAATACAGTGTATAATCGCCCAGATTTCAAGAATCACATTCCAAATCATAGGGCTTCCAAATATCAAACTCCCCGAAGACAGGAATGTTTGGAATCTCACTGGCTGAATGAGTGAATGCTTCCTCTTGTCAATACTGCATGTCTCACTATCTCTTATACGGTCATGATGTAGGTAGCCATTCTTTATTGTCATCAATTTGAATTGACCATTTGCTACTATTGTCCTGCTCTCATCCAATATTCTTACATCGGTTTCATTGTAGTCTGATTTATGATTTTCAGAAATAAGTTTCTTATGAAACTTGAACATCTCATCACTAACTCTGTTATATTTCTCCTCTGTATTTACTGCTATGTCTTCATCAATCTTGTCTGTGTTTAAGTCTTGACTCACTATAGTGTAATTATCTTTTTTCTGCTTCTTACCTATCTTAAATGTCAGGTTCATTTTAACATTCACCACTTTGCCTGCCCCGTATCTAATCAATGGTTCATACCCAGCCTGCGTTAAATCAAGCATAAATTTATCCAAATCCTTATCCTTCAATATCATGTTATATTCATCTTCTTCATTCATTTTAAGCAGGTCATCTTTAGATTCTATCATCCTATACTTCATTGCTTCCTTTTTGTTGTTGATAAAGTAGTTGTTGCAAATTTTCAGGTTGCTGGGGTTCTCATCTTTAGTTTTAGCCTTCAGGCTTTCTAAACTATGATTTAGTGTGCATACCTGACTGTTTTTGACTAAAGCATTGAAGGTTGCAATTCTACAGCTGTTAAAGTCTTCGGGGTCATGTCTGTAAATCTGTTTGCCATCAATGTCATATAATCTAGCCTTAATATTGAATTCTTTGAAGACCTTGTGCATGTTAGATATTGATGCCCCTCTCGTTTTAAACTCTTCATCACCCTTCCTAATTAATTTTATTATGGCTTCTCTGGTCAGGTTCTTAGCCAGCTTCCCCCTTTTATGTCTCATCAGGCTATCCGCATAATGGTCTAGCAATGTATTCATCCAACATTCATTTTCAATATGGTCTTTTTTTTCTTGATAGCATCCTTGAACCTTA